GTTGGAAATGGAAGTGCGCACAATCGCGATGTGTTTCGAGCACGTGTCCCAATTAATCCACGTCCTAATTAGCGGCATAATGGCGGCGTCCTGTATTGTTGGAAGTTTGCTATAACTTTGAGGCGATGGCTAAAAACTGGAATTTACTTTGCGTGTCGGTAAGCTATCCTAATTAAATAACGAGGGATTGCATAAAAATGCAGAGGCTAACGGGTTTCGTAGGCTTGGTTTAATGCTATTTACGGTAGATAACAATGTCTCGAATAAATGTCTACGTACGTGGGAAAAAGTACGAGCCAGTGGTGACATCAAAATTGATGTGTGTACTTCGATTAAATTTTATGTTAAAGAAGGTATATTCTTTTTTTTTTTTAAATGTAAGTTTTAATTATCGTCCATAAATTTGCGAATTTTTTTTTAATCTTCTACATTCTGCTACTTAATTTTCGAGGGGTAGCACGTCAATTAAAGGGGATCGACCACGTGCCTTATTTTTCTTACACGTGTTTCGGCGTGGTAGACCGATTAGATCCGCGAACGGGAATTTCGCATTTTTCCGATTAAATTCCACGGTTATTGCCGTGGTATATAATTTAATGGCGATATCAAGTGGCCGACAAAGGATATTAACGTGAAAAGTGGAAGCGAGCGTGCTTTTAATGTATCTTCGTAAATTTTACCAAGAAGAAATTTTACTTTTTTTTCTAAATATATCCCTTAGTACCTGCACCGTATCTTGTGGTGTCAATACTAAAGTTTGTTACTTCCATCAATTTTATCGAAATTTTTCCATTTCTCAACACGACCTCCATCAGTGGTTACGTAATGTAACTTGTTGATTCAAAAGATAACAATAACGTTTCTCGTATCGTGCAATGCGTGTAAAATAGATCTTGGATCAAATCAATTCCCAATAGTGGATTTCTGCGATTTGTGGACCGCAAAATAATTGGATTATAGATGATGGCGCGAGCCAAATCACCCGATTAATTGGGAATACAAGGTAATTATAGAACTTGAATGGACACAGTATCGTTAGACAAAGTAATTTACGTCATAGCGCATAATCGTTAAGAGCCACACGTGGAAAGTGCTGCTCGCAAAATAGCTAGTCATAAGTAAAGTTACGACATTGCAGGATACGAGTCCTCGTTGAAGGTGCAAGGAAAATTCACTAGCCAAACGCTAAATTTTATCATAGTCAAATTTCATAGCGACTGAAAGCTTTATAGAACGTTAAAAGCTCCGTGAATGATTGATAAACAAATGTTTATGGACCGTCCGAAAGTTTGATAGAGAACGGCAATCGAACAGCCGTTAACTTGAGTGATTTCGTCGATAAATATTGGATTATGTTTAACGCGAGAGAAACACAAAAAAAAAAAAAAAATTGTCATGTGACGTAAAAAAATCGACAAATAACTCACTGTACAAAGTCATTGGATATTTTGATACGAGACAGAAAAATATGATTTATCAATTACTTTCAATCTTGTATACATAGAAAACGAAAAATCTCCTACGTACCTAACAAAGCTCCATAGATCCAAGCTGTACAGTCCCAGATAGCAATTTCGAGTGAATCGTTGAGCAAAGCTCGGCAATCAATTTGATGCTAATTTTCTTAATTTCGGTTTAATACCTAAGCAAAGCTCGTGTAACGATCGGCTTTGATCCGTAACGTATCCTAAATAGAAGCCGTTTCTTCGTAACGAATAAATTCCAATCGATATTTCATTTAGGAAGACTTTTAAAGTGCTTCGTCTCGGTCAGCTGTATCGATAGCCAAAAAAATTTGAAAGATTCTCGCTTTTCCTTAACGGATATTTATAACCGACCTTTTAATCCCAGCATGAGATCCGACAATGCTCTTCCCTTTGAGTGGAATCGTAACGCCGTGGGGGGG